TAAATAAATAAATAAATATAATTAATTAATTAATTAATTAATTAATTAATTAACTTACATAGTTAATAAGGAGTGTAAGAAAAGAAAAAGGATAAAAAAACGTAAATTATTAGCACCTATACATTTATTAATAATAAAACAATGATGATCGTAACGAGCTACGCATACACCGCAAATACGGCAATGTTTACTACGTGCAGGCCTGGACACAAAAAGGAGACACTATTTATTTATTTATTTATTTATTTATTTATTTATTTATTTATTTAGTTTATTTATAGGTTTGTTATAGGGAATACAATTAAATATTAACATATATACATATAACATACACAAAGGGAGACAGGAAAGGAGACACAAAGGAGACAGAGAGAGAGAGACAGAGGGAGAGAGAGGGAGAGACAGAGGGAGAGACAGAGAGAGAGGGAGAGACAGGAAAGGAGACACAATAAAGGAGACAGAGACAGAGGGAGAGACACAGGGAGACAGGAAAGGAGACACAATAAAGGAGACAGAGAGAGAGAGAGAGAGAGGGAGAGACAGGAAAGGAGACACAATAAAGGAGACACAGCGAGAGAGAAAGAGGGACAAGGAGTTAAGGAGAAATAAGGACAAGACAAAAGCATTTAATATAAATAATATAATAAAACATTAAGAGCAGCCAACAACAAATGCATGCATGCATGCATGCATGCGTGTATGCATGCATGGTCTTGTGTTCGTGCTGCAGATAGCAGCAGCGTACACAAGACCAATTAGTGTTTACTAGTGTTTATTAGTGTTTATTAGTGTATATTAGGGTTAATTAGGGTTAATTAGGGTCAATTAGGGTTTAGGGTTTATGAGGGTTTAGGGTTTAGGGTTTAGGGTTTAGGGTTTAGGGTTTAGGGTTTACTTATATAGATTACAAGTAATACATTTATGATTAGGCATATAAAGAAAGTAATCATAATCATATAATTGTAAGAAAAGTTCCTCGTTATTTGCTGTTAATACACCTGAATAAATAAATAAATAAATAAATAAATATAAATAAATAAATATAAATAAATAAATATAAATAAATAAATAAAAGGAATACAGAAGGGCAAGGAGACACTTAATTATGATAGGTGCATGCACGCATGCAGCAGCAGAGAAAGGAGACAATCTAATTAATTAATTAAAAAGGAGACAGTATAATTAATTAATTAATTAATTAATTAATTAATTAATTAATTAATTAATCAATTAAAAAGGAGACAATTAATTTAATTAAATAAATAAATAAAAAGGAGACAATTAATTTAATTAAATAAATAAATAAAAAGGAGATAATTAATTTAATTAAATAAATAAATAAAAAGGAGACAATTAATTTAATTAAATAAATAAATAAAAAGGAGACAATTAATTTAATTAAATAAATAAATAAAAAGGAGACAGTTAATTAATACCTGGATCTGTCTTGCAGCAAATAAAAAAGACACAAAGACAAAGAGAGACAAGAAAGAGACTGTATACACTGCAACAAATAAAACAAATAAATAAAATAAATAAATAAATAAATAAATAACAATTTATTGTATACAAGCATGGCTATTAGGGTGTATAGGGAGGTATTAGTGAGGTGTATAGTTAGGTATTATTGGGGTGTATAGGGAGGTATTATAGGGATGTATTATTGGGGTGTATAGGCAGCTATTCAGGTGTATAGGCAACTATTCAGGTGTATAGGCAGCTATTATTGAGGAGTATAGGCAGCTATTCAGGTGTATAGACAGGTATTATTCAGGTGTATAAGGAGGTACTGGGGTGTATAGGCAGCTATTCAGGTGTATAGGCAGCTATTCAGGTGTATAGGCAGCTATTCAGGTGTATAGGCAGCTATTGAGGTGTATAGGGAGGTATTGAGGTGTATAACTGACGGATGCATCGCACTTAGATATGCATTAGGTAACAAAGGAATACCTAAGAAAAAAAAAGAATAAATAAATAAATAAATAAATAAATAAATTAATTAATTAATTAATTAATTTAGTTAATTTAATTTAACTAATAAGGAGACAATTAATAAATAAGGGAGACAGTTGATGAATAAAGGAGACAATTAATAAAGGAGACAATTAATAAATAAAAGGAGACACTTAATTAATAAATAAATAAAAAGGAGACAGTAAATAAATAAATAAATAAATAAATAAATAAATAAATAAATAAATAAATAAATAAATAAATAAATAAACGAATAAATAAATAAAAAGGAGACAGTAAATAAATAAATAAATAAATAAAAAAGAGACAGTAAAAAAGAAAAAGGAGACAGATAACAAGTAAATAAATAAATAAATAAATAAATAAATAAATAAATAAATAAATAAAAAGGAGACAGTAAGGAGACAGCTTACCTACTCTTAGATATTCCCCATAGCAAATAATAACTGCTGCTAAATAACAAATACGCCCTATAGGCTGTAGCCAGTACAGGCTGCAGCCCTGCTGCTGCTGCTGCTGCTGCTGCAGTTGCTGCTGCTGGTGCTGCTGCTGTGGGGAGGGTAACAAACGGCGGGAGCAGCTGCTAAGGAAGGGCAGCTGCTGCACCTGCTGCAGCTGCTGCAGCAACTGCAGCAGAGGACGCATGCATGCAGATATACAATCTGTAGCATTTGTACCAGCAGCAGCAGCAACAGCAGCAAATAGTAACCAAGCAGCAACACCTGCTGCTGCAGCACAGCAGCAAAACAGCAACAGAAATCCCCACATTGTTGCTGCTGCTGCTGCTGCTGTTGCTGCTGCTGCTGATGTTCTACATGCAGCAGCTGCTGCAGCTCTCTGTTAAGCTGCTGCAGCACGTGCTGCTGCTGCTGGTGCTGCTGGTGGTGGTTAGCCCTCTACAGCTGCTGCTGCTGCTGCTGTGCATGGAGGCAGCAGTTTGCTGCTGCTAAATGAATAAGGAAAAGGATAGAGGAGGAGAAAAGCCAATAGGAAGAAAGAAAACAAAGAGGAATAAGGAAGCATGCAGCAGCAGCAGCAGCAGCAGCAACAGCAGCAACAGCAGCAAACTTTTAGATGTTCTTTTGTCCCTGCTACTATAAACACAAAACAATTACATCCTGCTGCTGCTCTTGCTGCTGCTGCTCTTGTTGCTGCTGCTGACGCTGTTTCTGCTGACGCTGATGCTGGGACAACGACAGCCAGTGAGTTCCTCTGTGCAGCAGCAGCAGCAGCAGTGGCAGCAGCAGCGGCTGCAGCAATGGCAGCAGCAGCTGCTGCTGCAACAGCAAAAGAAAAGGTTCCTGCAAAAACTACGATATTAGAAGGGTTGCTGCAGGAGGAGGAGCAGCAGCTGCTGCTGCTTGTGCTGTTTCCTTGTTAGCAGCAGCAGCAGCTGTTGCTGCTGCTGCTGTTGCTGTTGCTGTTGTTGTAAAGACACAAAAGACAGCGATGGTAGTATTACTTAATAAATAGTTATTGGTGTCTTAGTAGATAAAAAGGGAAGAAAAGAGGAAAAAGGAGAGAAAAAAGAGTTAATTAATATAAAATAAATAATAAATAAATAATTAATTTGCTGCATGGTGCCTATACACCGCAGCAAAAGAAAAATCGCTCGACGGAGCTGCCGATACAGCGTAGAGAGAGAGGAGAGGGAGGAAAGAAGGTAAATAAATAAATAAATAGGGGGTTATAAGAGTTTATTTTTTAAGAAATAAAAAGAAAATATATTTATTTAATTATTTATTTCCTTGTTTCAGGTGTATAGGCAGCAGAAAAGAATAAAAACAGCAGCAGCAATATATTATTGAGGTGTATGTACAGCTCAGCCCCAGTATAAGGAGAGGCTCGCGCGGTGTATGCATGACTGCAGCAGGAGGAAGTTATTCTTTTTTATTTATTAATTTATTAATAATAATTATATATATTTATTTATATATAAATAAATAAAAAAGAATAACGTTCTATTTCTTAGGCAGGAGGAGCTGCAGCCGCTGCTGTTGTTGCTGCTGTTGCTGCTGCTGTTGCTGCTGTTGCTGCTGCTGCTTCCAGGGGTTCTTTCTGTCGGGTTGCTGCAGCAGCAGCAGCAGCAGCCCTCTTTCTTTTTCTTTCTGTGGATTCATCTTTGTTATTTACTCTTTTCTTTTTTATTTTATATTTTCTTCTTTTTATTCCTTTTATTTATTACCTCTATACCTCCTCTTCTTCTCTATATATTCTATCAGCAGCAAATAATTATACACTTATAAGACAGATCAGCTGCTGTTGCTGCCTGCTGCTGCTGCTGCTGCTGCTGTCTTCCTCTCTAAGGGAGCGGCCGCCACAGACAGACACACGCAGCAGCAGCACAAGCAGCAGCAGCGGCAGCGGTTGCTGCTGCTGCTGCGGCAGCTGCTGCTGCTGCTGCTTCAGTCGCATCTGCGCCTACAACTCCAGCTCACTGTCTGGAGCCAGCAGCAACTACTAATCCTGGCTGCTGCTGCTGCTGCTGTTGTTGTTGTTGCTGCTGCTGCTAGTGTGCAACGGCGCTTACTTCTGACACAGAAGGCAACAGATACAAACAGCCGCAGCAGCAGCAGTAACGTCGGCAGCTCGAGCAGCAGCAGCAGCTGCTGCTGCTGCTGCAGTTCTAACAGCAGCAGCAGCAGCAGACCTAGTAACAACGGGACTGGCAGCAGCAGAGACGCAACAGCAGCACAGCAGCAGCAGCAGAACGACCAGCAGCAGCACTAATAAACAGCAGCAGAACCAGTCTGCTGCTACAGCAGCAGCAGCAGCAGGAGCAGGAGCAGCAGCAGCAACATTTGGTAGACCAATTTCTATTTGCTGCTTATGCATGCATGGCAGCAGCTGCTGCAGTATTTTGTCCTGACGCATGCAGAGTTGCTGCAAGAGGCAGCAATTGGGGCTTGCCTGCATGCATTGGGCTCCCCTTGCTGCAGCAGCGGCGGCAGCAGCAGCGGCGGCAGCAGCAGCAACAGGAAGAAGAAATAGTTAATTAAACCCTCAAGACAAGCACAGCAGCAAAGATGGATAATATTTATTTTGCTGCAGGAGAGCAGCAGACACACAGCGGTACTGCAGCAACAACTGCAGCAGGACCAGCTGCTGCTGCTGCAGGAGCTGCTGCTGCTGCTGCCACTGAGGCTTCGACAGCAGCAGCACGCAACTCGGGAGATAGTGCAGCGGGGGGAACAGAAACCGCAGCAGCACCAGCTGCTGCAGCTGGTGCTGCTACAGATCCAGCGCATGCAAGTGTTGGGGCTTTTCGGGGTGTACATACACCTGGTGGCAGCAGCGGGACTCCTTTAGCTGCATGCAAAGTTGCTTATCATCCTTTGCTGCCTTCCCTTAATTCTTCATCTAATAAAGCAGCAACTGCTGCAGCAGCAAACCCCAGCAGCAGCAGCAGCAGCAGCAGCAGGGACAGCAGCATCCCAACTACTACATGCTCCCAGCAGCAGCAGCAACAGCAACAGCAGCAAGCTGGAATTGCCCCACAAGGTGGCCCTGCTGCATCCCCCAGCAACAATAAGAACACCAGCAGCAGCAGCAACAGCAGCAGCAGCAGCAGCAGCAGCAGCAGCAGCAGCAGCAATTTTGCTTCTATAGATTATTCATTAGATTATAAATATAGTATATTTCCTCCTTTTGCTTCTTGTCCTAATGTTAAGAGATGGAGACTCTGTATATACACCCGAGTTATGCTGCTGCTGCCTAGTCCTTGCTTGTGGGCTGGACCAGCAGCAGCAGCAGCAGGTGCAGCAGCAGGTGCAGCAGGAGGAGGAGGCAGCAGTGTACCTCCTCCTGGATTCATGCCCTGTCTCTTTATTGATAGACAATCTGCTGCGCTGCAGCAGCAGCTGCTGCCGCTGCGCGGATTCTTACTAGCACACTTTCAGGCTCCTGCTGCTGCTGCACCTGCTGCTGCTGCTGCTGCAGCAGCAGCAGCAGTTGGCCCTTTGAAACGTTCGTCAGATGGATCACCTTCTCCATCTTCTTATTCGTCGTCAGCAGCAGCAGCAGCAAATGCTGCAGCAGCAGCAACAAATGCAGCAACAACTGCAGCAACAAGAACAGCAACAAGAGCAGCAACACGAACATCACCAGCCCACCCCCCATCATCATCACCAACAGGAGGAGGAGGAGGCCAAGCACCATCATCAGCAGCAGCAGCACCAACAGCAGCAGCAGCAACAGCAGCAGCAGCAGCAGCACCTGCTGCATTTGGTGATTTCCTGCTGCAGTTTGATTGCGAGGCTGTCTTGGGTACTCTTGCTGCTGCTAATAAAAGATATTTAGTTGTTGTTGCTGAGGCAGCAGCAGCAGCAGCAATATTAGATGAAGAAACATTTCCTCCCGATTCATTGCATGCACGCATGCAGCAGCATCTAGAGCAGCGACAACAGCAGCAGCAGCAGCAGCAGCAGCAGCAGCAGCAGCGGCCGCCTCGTCTTGTAAGGAAAGTTATTAAACAACCAACAAGAGTTATTTGTATTCCTTATGCCCTTAAGACACCCCAACTCCCTCGTGCCTCTACTGGATTCCCTCAGCAGCAGCAGCAGCAGCTGCAGCAGCTGCAGCAGCAGAGGCAGCAGCAGCAGCAGCTAAGTGTATATGGAGACACTCAGCAGCAACAGCAGCAGCAGCAGCAGCAGACAGGGAGAACCAGCGGTGTTAGTGATAGCTCTGATCTCCTATGGAGTATAGGCGCAGGAGGATTTC